AGACTTGTGTGTCCTGGAGCAGGTCCAGTGAAGGACCACAAAGACATGTGAGTGGAGCATCTGATGTATAAGAGGAGGTTGTAAGAGAAGGGACTGTTCATCCAGAGAAGAGAATACTCAGAGGGAATCTTATCCATGTGTATAAATACCTGACTGGGGAGTGCAGGGGTTGTAATGTAGAGGGAACCAGGTTTTTCTCAGTGATACCCATTGAAAGGACAAGAGGCAATGGGCACAAATTGACACACGGGAAAATAAAAACATTTTCACTGTGAGGATGACCAAGAATTGCAACATTCTGCCCAGAGATGAGAAGTCTCAATCCTTGGATATATTCAAAACCCAACCAGGCATAACCCTGAGCAATCTGTTTTAGCAGACCCTGCTTTGAGCAGGGTGGGTGTGCTGGGTGATCTCCAGAGGTCTCTTCAGACCTCAGCAATGATGTGATAGCAAAGTAGCAAAGACTACAGTATCTATTTTCCTGTAGAGTGTGGCTCATTAGCCAGAGAAGCTGATTTGGAAGTGCAGCAACTCTGAAAAATATGCCTTACCCCAAGGGCTGCTGGGCTCAGTACAGTCACAGTGATGAGAAAACTCTGCTGTTTTCCATAACTTCCAAAAGTACTTCACCAAGATTGTAAAATCCTCTGAGCAGAGATCCTACTTTGTTTTGTAGGCTCTACCCGTTGTTCAGGGTCATCAAGGTACACGTTGCTCTGCAATAAATAATGGATGGCCAGTTGAGAACCACAGGGCAAGCAAGAATCACAGAGTAAATCTGGAACCTGCAATGTCCTTGCCAGAGCCTCTTTTAGAACAAAAACAAAACAGCTCCAGCAGAGGTCAGTTAAGGAAAACTTATTTTGCTGAGGGATTTGCTTTGGCATAGAGTGTAACTTTGAAAGAAAAATAACAAGCTTTTTGTTGTGTTTGAGATATTCAAATATACACATTTCTTAAAATGAAATAAAGATGTATAACCTCCAAATATTGACTATGACATTTTTAAAATCCTTAAAAAGTTTAATCACAGTAAAATTGAACAGAAAATACTATTATTCCATTTTAGTGTTCCTAATCTGGGTTTATACAAAAGTTAGAGAGGTTCCAATTTAGTTCAAACAGTCCTAAAGGGTTGTTTCAAACTATAAAAGTTTTCTTTTTCCCTTCCAGCTTTCTTCTTCTTCCTTGGTTGCTCACAATGTTGTAACTCTTCCCTACAGTCCCTCTCTGAGGCCCATTCCCCACATTCGGGCCCAGTAACAGCCTGTAGTCATTGCCCATGCTGTGATTTTGATCACATCAGAGGGCCCTCAATGAGATAGCATGAACATTAATATCTCCTAAGAAATGAGTATTCCTGTGGATTACCTGAAATAATGCACAACCAACCTTACAATCTACCTGAACAACCTTTGAGTCTTTAAGTAGAAGACTCTAGAAAATCTCAGTTACATCAATTCCAATGGGGATGTGAAATCAGGAATACCTCTAAATAGCAGAATATATGACCCACGCTCAACTGTCTTCACCGATAACTTCTCTTTCCCTGTTTGAGTATTTATCGTCCTTATTATTTATTTTGTTGTATTAGGCTTACATGGCAAGGTTTTAGAGGGAGGGGCAGGAACTCAGGGCAGCTTCTGTGAGAAGCTACCAGAAACTTCCCCCATGTCCAATAGAGCCAATGCCAGCCAGCTCCAGGACAGACCCATCGCTGGCCAAGGCTGAGCCACTCAGGAGTGGTGGTAACTCTTCTGTGAATACATATATAAGAAGGAAAAAAAAAGTTATTGCGTAGAGGTAATAGTGACCAGAGTGAGTGAGAACATGTGAGAGGAACAAGGTCAGTGGAGAAGGAGGAGCAGGAGGTGCTCCAGGCACCGGAGCTGAGATTCCCCTGCAGTCCGTGGTGCAGACCATGGTGAGGTAGCTGTTCCCCTGCAACCCATGGAGGTCCATGGGGGAGCAGAGATCCATCTGCAGTCCATGGAGGAGACCCACGCTGGAGCAGGGAAATGCCTGAGAGAGAGCTGTGAACCCATGGGAAACCTGTGCTGGAGAAGGGTCCTGGCAGGGACCTGTAGACCTCTGGAGAAAGGAGCCTATGATGGAGCAACCTGTTCCTGGTAGGACTTGTGGCCCTGTGGGGTACACACGTTGGAGCAGACTGTGCCTGAAGGACTGCACCCCATGGAAAAGAGACCCACATTGCAGCAGCTCGTGGAGAACTTTTGCCCATGGGAAGGACTCACGGTGGAGCAGTTCATGGAGAACTGTCTCCAGGGGGAGGGACCCCACAGTGGAGCAGGGGAAGGACTTCTCTCCCTGAGCAGTGGCAGGAACAACCTGTGATGAACTGATCGTAACACCCATTTCTTATCTCCTTGCACTGCTGGGGGGGAGGAGGTAGAGCTTGGGAAGGAGGGAGAGGTGGGAGGAAGATGTTTTCAAGATTTATTTTACTTTTCTTTGTCGTGCTCTGATTTTGTTAGTAATAAATTCAATCAATATCTCCAAGTTGAATCTGTATTGCCCATGATGGTATTTGTTGAGTGATCTCCCCTTGTCCTTGTCTAAACCCATGAACCTTTCACTGTATTTTCTCTCCCCTGTCCAGTTGCAGAGGAGAGTGATAGAGTGGTTTTGTTGGATGCTGGACATCCAGCCAGGGACGACCATTACAGGAGACTGTCCCTTGTGGGAAGGACCCCATGCTGGAGCAGGGGAAGAGCATGAGGAGTTCTGTTCCTGAGCAGGAAGGAGCAACTCAGACAACATATGATGAACTGACCCCATTTCCTGTCCCACTGTGCGCCTGGTGGAGAAGAGGCAGAGAATTTGGGAGTGAAGTTGAGCCTGGAAAGAAATAAGGGGTGGAGGGAAAATGTTTGAATATTTAGTTTGTCCTATTATCCTGCTCTGATAATAAATTAAGCTAATTTCCCCAAGTCAGCTCTGTAATTAGTGAGTGATCTCCACTGGTCTTTATCTCAACCCACGAGCCTTTCATTTTATTTTCTTTCCCCTGACGAGATGGGGAGAGAACTGACAGAGCAGCTTTGGGGGAGCACCTGGTGTCCATCCAGAGTCAACCCATCACATTGATTATGAACCTACAATACATGTCCTTTAAGGTAAAGCCTCCTTTTCATTTATGTTCATAAAATTTAGCACAATATTAGCCTGACAACTCAGTAAGTAAACTGTGAACATCAGAGAAAATGTGCAAATGGATCAAAATTACTTGAATTAAGTGTCTTGGAAAACAAGGATAAGATTTGGTACTGGTGAGCCCACACCTTGAATACTGTGTCCAGTTCTGGGCCCCTCACACAGAGACATTGAGGTGCTGGAGCATGTCCAGAGAAGAGCAACAGAGCAGGGGAAGGGTCTGGAGCACAAGTCTGAGGAGGAGCAGCTGAGGGAGCTGGAGGTGCTTAGCCTGGAGAAAAAGAGGTTCTTTACAACTACCGGACAGGAGGTTGTAGCATGGTGGGGGTCAGCCTCTTCTCTCAGGTGACAAGTGACAGGACAAGAGGAAATGGCCAAAAGATTGGACATTCCTAGGAATTTTTCCTAGGAAAAATTTCTTCACCAAAAGGGCTGTCAGGCATTCAAATAAGCTTCCCAAGAATATGGTTGCATCATCACTCCTGGAGGTATTTAAAAGATGTGTAGATGTAGAGTGACATGGTAGTGGTGAACACGACAGGGGTGGATTATTAGTCTGACTTTATGATCTTAGGGGTTTTTTCAAAGTAAATGATTATATGATTTCATGTTTCTACTAAAATAGAACACAACAGGATCAGCAAATTCACAAAATCAAAAAGGTAACTATTCAATACTACATAAGAGATGAACAATTTGGAAAGGCCAGTTCTAAGAAAGGTAAAAAACCTGTGCAGTAGCTTGTAATGAGATATGGTAGAAAAATAGGCCAGTGCTCAGATAAACATCATTCTCCATACTTCTGGGATATGACTTCACATTTAAGTGTGAAAAAAAAATACCATCAAAAGAGTTACCCAAAAGCATATCTTAAAATCTTTAAACTATAAATTAACAATAAGAAAGATGAATAAAACTCAAAATTCATATATTGAGAAATATAGAGAGGAATAAGCAACAAGAAGATGAGAATGATTTAGAATATCACTTAAGAATATAAGTAATAGGATGAAAGTAAGCTCAAGGTAGCATAAAATGACAGTAATTCAAACAAATACTGATGAATTGATATTTTGAAGAACCATCTTCCCAGAGGAATGGTGAACCCATGTGAAAATTTACAGAACATAAATGAATGTACAACAGGGAACTTCTGTACTGTTGGAGAGATATATGTGTTTATTTGTCCATGCCATCTATTTATTACAGTGCTTTGGCTGAAGAAACATGAGGCAAGCCTTTCTTTTCTCATGTGGCAAAAGCAGGTGCTACTGTAAATAGCATTAGGCTGCCACCAGCAGATTAGCACTTGAGACATGTCACCCAAAAGCAGGACAGAAATGATGGATCTAGGAAGGGATTGATTTTTGAACAAATGTGTGCTGGAAAACCTGCTAGGAATAATATAAGCAGATATGTGGTCATGGCCAGTGACAGGAGAAGGATGAGTAAATAATAAATTGAGCTCCCAGGATCAAGCAATAAAGGTGTTAAACAGCCTGACAGGCTTTCCCAGGGCAATACATCACAATGAGAGTTTAGGAAGAGTTTTGGGGGTTGACTGTTTCGTATTTTGCTTTTTTTTTATTTTACTTAAAAATGTAACATACAAGTCCATGAGATTTGTTTGAGACAAAACTCCATTTACATTTCAAAACATAAATTGAACATTTTCTCTGATCAAAAAAGCCTAAAGAACTGAAAGGCAGAGTGACTGTCAAGTACCTGTTCCCATACCACCAGTTCTAATTTAGTCACATTTACAATGTCATAATCAGAAGGAATATTTAACATTGCCCACAGAGCCCGTCAGCATTCTAATCCTCCCCTTCCACCATCCATTCCTCTACACAGGTTCTCTTGGGTGGCTATCAAGAGATTGTCACTAACTTCATCTCTTTTGTAGTAAATCTTATATTAAAAAAATAGGTTTTGTACTGAGACAGCTAGCTCTGATTTTTGGCATTTAATTCCCCTGTGGTCTGGCCCTCTTTCAGGAATTCTGCTGTTTCCCAGATTTGTGTTCTGCGGATTTCCTAATGACCCAATTTCTGCCAGTGTTGGTTTCTAGAGGAGAATGGGTAACAGTGGTTTATCGCTGTGATTTATTGAAGCAGTGGAAGAGATTGTGGTTTGAAAGAGATTTGTGGTCTATGAAAGCCTGTGTGCTGTCCTTCCTTTGGGATTTCTCCTCTGTGAGGATACAGAAGTTAAGAGTCACAGGCGCAGGGAACAGTAACTCACAGGATAGGTGAGTCAGATTTCACTTGGCCTTTCACAGTTGCTTGAATTTCAATGTAGCCATTGGCCTCCAGGGCCCATGAAACGGGGAAAGCCCATCCTTAGTTTTGAGCTCCACTATGTCCAGAAGTTCTTCTCAGTCCTAGGTTGGATGCATCTAAGTTTCTTTGTAGGTCAGCACACACTTGATGGATGAGGCAGAGGTGACGAATCAATATCATGTTCCCATTTTACAGCTGTTAACTAGGGAATGAAGAAGATCACCACTATCCTCATTCTTGGTTTTTTGCTTAGTCTGACCCTTATATAACCTCAGCCTCTGTCTTCACGTGCTGCTATATCTTTGTGAGACAAGTAAAGCCTTAAATGAGGATAAAGGTACTCATATAGCTGAAAGCCCAGTAAAATGTAACTGAAAGTTGGGGTTTAATTTTCCTAGGAGACTGACAATCCCAGTTTCAGTAAAATAGGAAGAACTATTTTGACTAATCCTTCGCAGGCTAGTGAGGAAATTATTTGATAGCACTCACACCATTAAGGTTGCCTGTCTTGCCCAGTACACTGCCTATATTAAATGGTACAGTGTTTTATGGAGGGTCATTCCTTCCCTAAAGACACTTCATTCTTTGGAAGCTTTTCATATCATCTTAGGCAAATATCCATCAGGAATAGACTAGACAGAATTGATCCTTCCACAGAGCAGAGGAAGGAAATAGGCACATTCTGGAGGTTTTTATCCTGTCTTGTTTTCTATTATGAGCAGAATAAACCACACCTGGAAATCAGACAACTCAGCTGCCCTACAGAAAGGCAGATCAGCAGGAGTTTAGCAGATGGCTTTCATGGAATTCAGGGACTGGAAGCCAATATTTTATGAAGTAAGAGAAAAAAGAGCATTAAGGGATGAAATAAGAAAGCTACACACATTGTGGTATATTCTCTGATATTTAGACGTATAATAAGTTTGTTTCTTTCAGTTTTTCCATTAAATGTTTCCTTATGAGGCATTTAAGACCCTTCAGAACTTAATTACTGCCTAGTGAATGATGGTGGTACATGGTCAGTGTTAAAGTTGGGGTCACTTATCAATCACAACATGACATAAAGACAATCAAATGTTTCTCCTCTTTAGGGCTTGTTAATGACCGAAGACAAACATGTTGATCCCAAATCATTTCCAAAGTGAAAGTAGAAAGAACACAAGTAGCAACAAAAGTCCCTTTGCTAACAGGTAAAACACAGAGAATAAACATGAATTTTAACTATTTTCCATCTTTTCCTGGCCAAGGTGAAGACTTATTGACAGGCACGTCTGGAAAAGCTTCTGTTGCTGCTGCTTACTATGACTGATTTTGAAAGAAGGAACTTCAATCTTAAGGGCTGTCAGTTTGGCACCTATAACGAGCATAATATTCATTTCAAAAGGAAAACTACCAAAAAAAATAAATGACAGGTTAAACTTTGCATGTCTACAAGCAGAACTGCTGATCTCCCAAGATAGTGTTCCCGGCCCACACACCCGTCACACTACCAGGTGCTGTTGCTTCTTTTCTTTTTTTCCCCTAGTATTCCTCATTACATTTCCCTGGCAGAAATTCCACTGTGGATGCTAGCAATAGGCTTGCCTTGATGCTGCTCATCACAATCCCCCGTGACAGCTTATTATCTCATTATCAACATTAATAATAAATGTGTGTTTCTCTGAATATGCAATGTGAGAACCGAATATCTATATATATATGGGACTTCACACTGCATTTATTTGAATGTGTAATGGCTGGTATAAATGCAGACTCAAAGCTCTATGAGTGAAGGACACACTTGGCATGCAGAACCAGGTTCAGCTGAGAGCCGTGACAGAGACTTCCTGTGTGCCTGTGGGTGAGTTATTTGACCCCATCCACACCTTATTCCTCATTCTTGAAATCCCTTTTGCACTTTTAGAGAATGATTTAAGTTTTCTCTCCTAAATGCTGCAATGTTTTAATACACATTCCAATTGATGCATCTTAATGCTTAAATGAGCATTGGATAGTTAAAACTACAAACTGATCAGTATAGAAATAAACAATCCCATATATGGGTTTCTGAGGATAAATATTTAAGAATAATTAATGGCTTATTTTTCCCTTCCATGCTGTCTAATTATAAATATGACTTTCCAAATAAAATCAACTTTTTTTTATACTACCGGAATTTTCTTTTTATTTAAAAATTCCTGGTTTTGAATGAATGAAAGTGTTATAGTAAAACTTCAAGTACGAAATGCTGACACAGTATGAAAACCAGTTTCATATATGAAACTAAAATAGTAGAATATTCTTGTCATAAAATAAAAACTGGATGTACAAGTAGGTCTTAAAAAATTTAAGTTCTGTTCTTAATTTCTAAAAATATTTTTTTGGTATTTTAATTTCAAGTAGTCAGAGTTGTAAAGGTTTTAGAACTGCTTATAAAAAATACTGGTCAAAAGGAGCACTCCTTTAATGGATGTTGAAGACTACAGCTCACTTGGCCTTACTGGGATGGAACATGCTAGTGGAAATAAATGAATACTTGTGATAGGGGATTCTAGAACTCCTCGAACACTGTTACTGAGGAAAACTCCTTCATTCTTGCCGTATTGTATTCCAGCCCAAGGACAGGAGACAGTGTTAAAAAAAACATATTTACTTGGTTGAGTAGCCAGCAACGTCCTTACAGTTCAGCCTAAATGTCACATGAAAGAACAAAATTAACAAATTCTGCAGAAAGTAAGAATATCTGAAAATAATTTCATTTACTTTCTAATGCTGATTAATAACAGATACATTATTCTTAGCAACTGTATTCTGACCTCAGTCTATTCTGGCTCACAAATTTTATGCAGAGAACGTGAGTAAAAAAAAAAGTCTAAATTCATGGAGAATGTCTAGAAAACAGTACAATTAGGATGAGAAAATGTCACTCTGACAGCTCTGTGTGTCCCTAAACATTTCCAAAAACAACTTCTAGTATGAAACTGCTCTTGCATAAAGTTGCACAAATGAGACAATGGAGTGTACTGTCTAGAAAGGAGTCTAGTCTAGAAAGAAAGGTCTATGGAATTAAAGTATTATAGAACATCAAAATGGAAAGGAAAACTTTCAAAACACAGAGGAGAATGCGCACATGGAATACCACACAAAGTATTTTGTTGGTTCTCCTGTGGGAAAATAGAAAGCAACAAATGGTTCAAAGTACAACAGAAACTCTTTTTTTAAGCATAAATGCTGTGTCGTTTGGTCCTTCACTGAAATATAAACTCAACAGCTCCAATTTCATTTGAAATATGACAAAAACAATAGAAGTTGTTCAATTTACTGAGTTAAAAAGTCAGGAAGGCAAAACTCTTTTTATCAGCCCAGATACCTTCCCCACCCCTCTGCTACCCTTTTGAATCCACTCTAAATTTGAAGCTACTGTCGTTCTTTGAAATGGAGTCTACAAAAAAAGAAAGTTAAACAACGACAAGTGATTCTCCTGAAGAAAGGATTGAATAAAAACAAAACATTGCTTTGAAGTTGCTGGTTTTCTTACTGAAGAACATTTCTCCTCTAAACTGTAACTCAGCTCTGAAACTGTTTTCAGAACAGAAGCATGTTCAGAAAATGCCAGAATGAAGAATATGCTACTTGTAAGATTTATTCATAAATTTGTCAGAAGGCATCAATATGATCAAGCAGCTGTAATTAGGAACGTGTCTAATGCTGATACACCTTAAAAATCCATGCTCTAGGGGCCATGAGTTTGATGAGTTTGGAAGAGGTCTTCAAGCAATAGGATTAGAGAAAGAAGAATAAAGATTATTGTCTTGGACTTGTTCTTCAATGACAGCTACAAGCTTCTGTTTCCCTCTAAGTTCCTAAATTATAAAACAACTGAAATTATTCTCCTTCCATGACAATTTGTGTGGAATTTTCCCTTTATGGGGTATTTAAAGCAGTTTTAGCTGTTAAAACTAACTTGGCATCCCAGGCATGGGTACATCCAGGGATGAGATGCAGCTATCCAAAGTAGATACTTGATGTCCTACAGAACAGAACCATTCTCCTCTGGCACAAAACCAACTCCCACAATGTGTCACCTTCTCTCTTCTCTTGCTTTAGAGAACTGGAGAATTCCCAAAAATATTTCCTACATATTCGACTCCTTCTGCTCCTTTCTAAGATCCTTGGAAGACTGGTTTCAAACTTACTGTCAATGTCCTCCCACCAATGTCAAAATCATTCTAATTCATGTGATGATTTCCCTGTGTCCTCACACCTGGAAAGCTTCATGCTGAAACTCAAACTGGCTGAAAGCTGTGTACTTGATTTAATCTTCACTTTTTACCTTAAACTTTCTTTAAGTCATAGACTTTCTAGTGTCTTGTTTAGACAGTAAGGTCAGGCCTGCAGAGCTTAAACTTGCTGAAAAAAGACTAAGTGAAAAACTACTGCAGAATGAACTTGTTTAGATTCTTGGAGTATCAATCTATTATGAATATTAAATAACAAAGTTAATAACCCTGTTTTGCCAATTTCTGTTCTGCTTCATTCAGCTCATGTAGAGTGTGTTGAGATCTCCACCCATCCATGAAACCTTAGAATTTCTTGCTGGCTGATATTACTATTAACAAATGAAAAACATCAGAAAATGCAATTCTTGCTAAAGGAATTTCTATTAAAAATAAAACTAAATTTTTACTTCCTTGCCTAATGATCACAATTTCTTGATCTGTGTCTCTCTCTGTCCAGTTATTTGTCTAATGGTTCCATCTTCTCTACTACTAAAAGCTTGTGCCAATTCCAGCCTTCCACCTTACAGAAATAAGCAGGTAGAGAACTATGGATTTTAGGTCTGCACTACCTACTTAATCCTAACCTTCTTAATAAATTAAACCAAGCTTTCCTCTGGCATTCTGAGGAGGTTTGTCATATATAAAGGGTTCTTACTCATATATGTGTAGCAAATCATATGAAATGCAGATAAATATGAAGAGATTTAAAATGTCTCTTTGTGATAGACACTGGCTGGCCAATACTTTAGAGTGTCCTCGGGTGAATTCTTAAGAGAAACTTCCTGTTAAAACATACAGGAGCTTTCTGTGGACTTGCAAATAGTCAGGATCATAGTACATATCACAGAGTCACAGAATATGCTGAGTTGGAAGGGATCCACAGGGATCATCAAGTCCAATCCTTAGCCCTATACAGGACCATCCCCAAGAGTCACACCACATGCTTGAGAGTATCATTGAGCTCTGTCAGGCTTGGTGCTGTGACCACTTCTCTGGGGAGCCTGTTCCAGTGCCCAAACACCCTCTGGATAAAGAACCTCTTTCTAATATCCAACCTAAACCTCCTCTGACAACTTCAGGCCATTTCCTCAGGTCCTGTCACGAGTCACCACAGAGAAGATAACAGTATCTGCTCCTCCTCTTCCCCTCATGAGGAAGTTATGGACTGCAATGAGGTCTCCCCTCAGTCTCCTCCAGGCTGAACAGACCAAGTGCCCTCAGCCACTCCTCACACATGTTTACTGTTTGGGCTGTAATAGTGCTAGTAAACTATACTTGTTCCTTTCATGGCTGAATGGTTGCACTCAAAGAGTTGAGGTGAATGACTCGATGTCCAAGTGGGAGAATACAACAAGTGGTGTTCCTCAGGGATTGGTGTTGGGACTGGTGCTGTTTAACATCTTTGTCAGTGACATGGGCAAGTGGGATTGTGTGCACCCTCAGCAAGTTTGCCGATGACACTGGGCTGTGTAGCCTGTTTGACACACTGCAGGGAAGGGATGTCATCCAAAGGGACCTTGAGAGGTGGAACCCATGCAAAGCCCACGAAGTTCAACAAGATCAAGTATGAGGTGCTGCACCTACATTGGGACAGTCCCAAGCACAAATACAGGCTGGAGGATGAAAAGATTGAGAGCAGTCCTGAGGAGAAAGACATGAGGGTGTTGATGGATGAGAAGCTCAACATGACTTGTAAAATGTGCACTTGAGCCCTGGAAGCCAACCAAACCTGGGCTGCATCAACAGCAGTGTGGGCAACAGGTCAAGGGAGAGGATTCTTTCCCTCTACTCCGCTCTTATGACACCCCACCTGGAGTGTTGCATCCAGCTCTGAGGCCCTCAACATAAGGAGGACATGGACCTGCTGGAGAAGATCTAGAGGAGGTCATGAAGATAATCAGAGGGCTGGAACACCTCTCCTGTGAAGACAGGCTGAGAGAATTTAGGTTGTTCATTCAGAAGAGAAGGCTCTAGGGTTACCTTAGAGCATCTTCCAGTACCCAAAGGGACTACAAGAGAGTTGTAAAGGGACTTTTTACAAAGCCATGTAGTGACAGGACAAGGGGGAACGGCTTTAAACTGAAAGGTGAGTTTAGATTTAATGTTAGGAAGAAATTCTTTATGGTGAGAGTGGTGAAGCACTGGAAAGAGGTTGCCCAGAGCAGTTGTGGATCCCCCATCCCTGGAAGTGTTCAAGGCCAGTTTGGATGGTGCCCTGGAAAGCTGTGCCCTGATCTAGTTTTTGATTGACACCTCATCCAGCTGTATTTTCTTAATGGTAGTTGCAGAGCAAATGCACTCATCACATCTTCCTTTGCTGACTTGACACTTCTTGGATCTGTAAGTGCAGCTCTTATTCATCA